GAACCACCTCCTGCCCCGCTCTGATTTCTCTGGGTGCCTTAAACTTGAGTGAAGTCACTGATAGGGGCTGTGTTCACACCTTGTGGTGGCCTGATATTCCCGAGATGTGGACAGGACCAGAGGATCAGACAGAACACAGAGACCAAGAGAGAGGCGTGTCAGGGCAAGGAGAGGACTACTGGGCCACACAGACATGCCCGGCAGCCTGAGTGGGCCCGCGTACCTTGCAGGCAGACCCATGGGTGCTGAGGGGAGGGCCCAGCCTAAGGCATCTGAACACTGGCACGCTTGGATCTGCCTCTGTGGCCTCCTATCCCGGACTAGGGGTCTGGGACAAAGTCCTGGACCAGTGTAGGGCTTGGTAAAAAATAATTAATTTTTCTTTTCAAGTGGAAGCTCTGACTCAGGCCTTTTCCTGTCCCCAGCAGCATTATCCTTGCTTAGGCCTGAGCCACAGAAGCTGCCCAGGGACTATCCATGGCCTCCCGGTGGCCAACTTGAGCCTGCTCTGCAGCTTCAGGCCCAACTCGGAAGGCCCGTGGGCTCCAGGTGAGTGGGGGCCAGGGGACCCTGGTGGCCTGAGCACAGCTGGGAGGAGCAACTCTTTGGTTTCCCCGGCAGTGAGCATGTAAGTACCTGGGCGGTACTATGGAGCAGACAAGACATGCCCACATGGAGACACGTCTGTGGACCTGGTGTTATGACTGCAGGGGCTTGTAACCATGAGGCCAGCAGGGACAGAAAGCCCATGCCTCTAGCTCCTTGGGAGCCTTGGGAGTCTTCCCTGACTAGAACAGAGCCTGCCAGCCCCAGGTGCCCCCATCGTCCTCCCTTCACCTTCCTGAGAGGCAAGAACGCCAGGCGGCCATGCTTCTGCTGCGAGGGGAGGGGGCTGCCCAGCCAGCTGTCATGGGAGCCTCCAGCAACTCAGCCGGGTGTCGGGGGGTGTTTATGAGCAGCCGAAATGGCTGTAAAAGTGGCACCTCGCTTCACTTATGGCCTGGCCATCCCCTCCCCTACTGGCCTCCTGCCTCAAAAAGCTTCCAGAGGGGCCCGGAAGCCGAGAGAGACCTGGGGTGGAGGTCTGGGTGGAGGCACAGCCTGGGGTCAGAGTTCAGCCAGGGGCAAGAAATCGAATTAGGATAAGGATTCAGCCCTAGGTTGGGGTTCATCATGGAAACAGAGCTCAGTCTGGGATCAGGGCTAAGCGTGGGATGCAGACTTATTTTGGGGCTAGTGCTGGGATGAAGCATTGGGGGACTATAAAGGCTCAGAAATAGATGTGAGCCATTAGTCCCAGAGAACCCCTGGGTCAGCAAGGGATTTTCTAAGAGAATGAGGCCAGGCTGCATTGCTCAGAAAGCTGAGTCTCTGCCTTTCCTGTTGGTGTCTGATGCCCACCCTGGCCCCAGGGTCTGTGTACCTTGGCCGAAGCCCTACTCACAGTGGGATGGCTGCAGCAGAGGCCTGTCAGCCTGGGGCTGCCACACCAGCAGGGGTGGGGCCAGAGTCCAGCCCTTAGTGTAGTTCTGAGATCCAGCAACTACCCTGGCTCTTCCTCATAGGTCCCAACCTGGGGATCAGAGTCAGGGACTCACTCCTACTCTCCACCCCAAGCCAGGCCTTTTCAAATTCCATTGAAACTGACCTGACACTAACCAGAAACTGACTCTGGGCCCCTGGGGCCTGCCTGTCAAAAAGGGCAGGCTGATTCTGCCAAGCCCTAAGGTGCTACCAGTTAATGTGTGACACGGATACCCTCACCCTCATGGTGGCACTTTAACCAGAGGCCTGAGGGTGAGGGAGAGAATCTATGGCCCCACCCACAGCTGTGGAATGTCCAGCAGGGGACTCTGGGGTGAGGCACATGAATTATGGCAAGGGGAATGCCCTTAAGAGGCCCAGCGCCCATCAGATTCCTCTCTGCAGCCCTCTCTACAGCCCACCCCGGTCCTCCCAAGTACAAATATTATGTTTCCAAATCTCAAGTTTTCCCTGGTGTCAGATCTGAAAAGAACTCCTCCCCATCAGCCCCTAGTTTTACCTCTCAGTCCTTCCAATCCCTCCATTAATGTTCTTTTCTCATCATCAAGAGGGAAAGCAGGGTGGGAGGTCAGCGGTCATAGAAACATAAAACTTAGAGACACCTAGAAACAGAGGCACAGGCCAGGTACGGTGGCTCATGCCTGTAATCCCAGCACTTTGGAAGGCCAAGGCAGGAGGACTGCTTGAGCCCAAGAGTTGGAGACCAGCCTGGGCAACAAAGTGAGACATCGTCTCTACAAAAAAAAATTTTTTAATTACCTAGGTGTGGTGGCTCATGCCTGTGGTCCCAGCTACATGGGAGGCTGAAGTGGGAGGACTGCTTGAGCCCAGGAGGTCAAAGCTGCTTTGAGCCATGATTGTGCCACTGCACTCCAGCCTGGGCAACAGAGCAAGACCCTGACTGGAGGGAAAAAAAAAAAAAAAAAAAAAGGCTGGGTGTGGTGGCTCATGCCTATAATCCCAACACTTTGGGAGGCTGAGGCAGGTGGATCACTTGAGGCCAAGAGTTTGAAACCAGCCTGGCCAACATGGAGAAACCCCGTCTCTACCAAAAATGCAAAAATTAGCCTGGCGTGGTGATGCACACCTGTAATCCCAGCTACTCAGGAGGCTGGGGCCAGAAAATTGCTTGAACCCAGGAGGCAGAGGTTGCAGTGAGCCGAGTGCGTGCCACTGCACTCCAGCCTAAATGACAGCCCTGTCTCAAAAAAAAAAAAAAAAAGAAAGAAAGAAATGGAGGCATAATAAAGCTGAGACCATTAAAATATAACTGAAGAACCACAAGTGTTCTTTAGGTCCCCATTCTGGCACCTGGGCCTCTGTCCCAAGGAGCCCACATACCATAGGAGGCAGCCCTGAAATCACAACCTCCTCCTTAGTAATGGAGGATGTGGGCACACAGGAGAGAGGGGAATGTCCTTTATAGCAAGCAGAGGAGTGTGATTCTAGCAGAGGAAACGGCAAGGGCAAAGGCCAGAGAGTGGATGTGTGGAGAAGGCCAGGAGTCTAGCAGACAGTTCCTGTTGGGGAGAATCATTTTTGGAGGAAACTCTCAAATAGCACAGCCCTTGAACACCAGGACAAGAAACGAGCGCAGTGGGCACAGAGAAGGGATGCAGCCATAGAAATGTGTGGGGAGGGCCGGGTCCAGTGGCTCACACCTGTAATCCCAGCACTTTGGGAGGCTGAGGCAGGTGGATCGCTTCAGATCAGGGGTTTGTGACCAGCCTGGCCAACATGGCAAAACCCTGTCTCTACCAAGAAATAAAAAAATTAGCCAGGTTGGTGGTGCGTGCCTGTAGTCCCAGCTACTTGGGAGGCTGAGGTGGGAGAACCACTTGATCTTGGAAAGCAGAGGTTGCAGTGAGTGGACGTTGAAGTGAGCAGAGATCATGCCACTGCATTCCAGCCTGGGTGACAAAGTGAGACCCTGTCTTGAAGACGAAGAACAAGAAGAGAAAGAAGAAGAGAAGGAGGAGGAGGAAGGAGGAGAAGAAATGCATGGGGAAAGTGTCTAGCTAGGGGTGCAGTCTGGAAGCTGGATGGACTTGAGCCAGGAGAAGGGTAGCAACATCTGGATCCTAAACCTTAGGGCTTGGGCTTGGCAGATTCACACTGAGGGTTGGAGGGCAGGTGTGCAGGCTCTGAGGAGCTCGATGTCCACAGGCTGAGTCTGAAGAGCCCCTGGAGCCCATGGGCCAGGACGCCCACCCTCGTGGATACTAAACAGGAAAGTTAACATTTCTTTTGAATCAGCTGGCCAAACTCTCCATTTTGCAGATGAGGAAACTGAGATCCAGACAGCCGTAGAGTGGTAGTGTCCCAGACACGAGATTGGTGAGCAGGCAAGCACAGGCTGCTGCTTAACCCAGACGATATTTCCCAGGGCCTCAAGCATTCACTTCCTCCGCTATCCTTACAGCCCTCCACTTCAGGCATCCCCGGCCCCTCCTTCCGCCTCAGTTTCCCCACCTGGTACCGGGAGGGGGTAGGTTTGGGGTCAAAGGGTCCCTCCTTTTAGAGCTCCAGCGTGCCCTCCCCAACCAAGCATAGAAACCCCGCCTCGTTCAGCCCCAGCCCCGGAGGACTTCTCTCTGCCTTCCCCTAAGTAGAGGGTCCCAGGCAGATCCGAGCCAGCCCAGAGTTTTGGGAATAGGGGTGGAGACAGGGGAGGGAGGTGAAGCCCGAGAGTGGGTGTCCGGATTGAGCCCCAGGTCTGGCAGCCTCGAGCCGCCAGGGTTGGGGCCGGGCGAGCTGGAGAGGCCCGGCCAGCAGCGGAATGGGTCGAGACTCGGAGACTCGGAAACCCGGACCCGAAGAGCCGCCGAGCAGGGAGGGAGCTGGATGTGTGGCTGCAGACCTTGGCAGGGGTCGGGGCCGGCCTACGGCCGAGCAGAACGGCCGGCCTGGGATGGGACTGAGGCAAGGGTGGGGCTGGACGTGGGGGAGGGCGGCGGCGGCCGAGCCCGGGTCCGGGCTGGCAGCCGAGTGGCCTCCCCAGGGACCCCGACCCAGCCCGAACTAGAGCCCAGCGGACTGACAGCTCCGCTGCCGGGGGGCGCGCGGGGTACCGGGCGGCCACCCTAGGGGATTCGCCCGTGAAAAAAGAGGGCTTGCTTCTCGGCTGAGGGTCCCTATTCGCCAGCGGGGGTCGGATGATCAGAAAAAAAGAAGAAAAAGAAAAGCCCGTGCTTTCCAAAAGAGAATATAGCGGCGGCAGCGTCCCGGTTCCCTGCTCGGGTGTCGATGTCACCGATGCCCCCGCCCCGTTCCACAGCACTCACATCCCGCCGCCATACGACCCCGGGCCTCAGCCTCTAGCGCAATGTCCCTGGGCGGGGGGCGGCGGGCTCCTCTTGGCCTCTCCACACTCCCGCGTCGGCGGCGGCGGAGGGGGTGGGGGCGGGAGAGGCCCGGGAGGGCTCGAGGGAGGGAAGAGGCGCCCGGCCGGGGGGAGGGGAGAGGCAGACGCCGAGGCGAGGGACTCGCGCTGCGGGCGGTGGCTCCGAGCGGCGGCCGGGCGGGGGGCGCTGGAGACCAGGCCGGCTGGGGGGGGGGTATCCTGAGAGCTCCATGAAGTCCCCCCGGGGCCGCGGACGGGGCGCTGGCTTGGGGAGGCTGTCGGGGGTGCCCCGACATCCATGGCAAGGCGGGGGCCGCGGCGGCGCGCTCGGAGTAAGTCGGGGCTGGGGACCCGCGCCGAGGGGAAGTGGCGGGAGTCGGGGAGGAGCGACTCCGGGCCTGGCCGGGGCAGCCAGGCTGCTCTGTCTCGGTGTCAGTCGGCGGCGCCTCCTCGGAACCCAGGGGAGCCGCCAGCCCCGCGCCGCTCGGCTCGGTGGCTTTTTTGGAAACTTGCAAATGTTTTCGTAGAGAGAGAAGTGGGAGGGAGGGAGCGAGGGAGTGACCGAAACGGAGCTTGGGGCCGCTGGAAGAACTGAGGCCAAGGCCGGGGGAGCTAGAGACGGACTGACAGACAGGCAGACCGACAGAGCGTCGGGGCCGCTGGCGCGCCGGAGCCGCACGGGCGCAAGCGGGGCTCGGGCAGAGGATGGGGAAGGGGTGCGGGAGGCGGGGGCCGAGGCGCTGGGTCTCGGGAGGCCGAGCGGCCGGGGGCTGGCGGCCGGAACACCCGAGGGTTCAGTGTGGCTGCAAAGTTGGGATCGCGTCCCCTAGCTGCACGCCCTGCGCGGCTCAGAACGCGCCCCCTGCCCGGCCGGGACTCGCTAAGGGCTAAAGCCGCGGAGCTAAAAATAAGTCCTGTTCGCCCCCCGCAGACCGCGACCCCGACCCCTCCCCCCACTGGGCGTGGGGCGAAGCCACAGCTCCCACTTCCCCAAAAGAAAAAAAAAGAAAGAAAGAAAAGGCGGCGCGGGAGGGGGGCGGGGGGCGGGCCGGGGGCGGGGGGCGGGGGGCCCGGCCATATGGATGTGATTTCTCCGCTCGGAGGCAGACGGGCCGCTCCGCAGCGATCGGCGCCCGCCCGCCGCCCGCCGGGCCTCCGGCTGTCCCTCCCTTCCTCGCGTCCCTCCCTCCCTCCTTTGCGCTGCTCGCTCGCTCGATCGCCCTCAGCGCATGGGCCCCGCGCCGGGCCCCGGGGCCTCGGGCCGCCCGGACGCCGGGGTCCCCTAGGCCGGGGCGTGGGCGGGGCGGCCGGCCTGACGCAGCTCTGCACCCCCTACCACCACCAGGGCCGGCGGCGGCGGCTGCCCCGAGGGACGCGGCCCTAGGCGGTGGCGATGGGGGCCGCCCGGATCGCACCCGGCCTGGCGCTCCTGCTCTGCTGCCCGGTGTTCAGCTCCGCGTACGCGCTGGTGAGTCCCCCGCCGCCTACACTCCGGGACGGGATGCGGGCTTACCCTGGGGTCCCCGGCATAGGTCTAGGGCACGCAGTCTCGAGTTCCCCCTGCAGTTCGAACGTTGGGTGAGAGTTCCCTCTGATCCAGGATCCTGGGTGCCTGCTGTCTCTGGGATGTCTGAACTTCGGGTTCCAGCTGCCTGAAGCCTCCCTATTTTTGAAGCCTCCTTTGGAGTCCCAGATCTGGAAATTTGTGGTTGAGGTTTCCCCATCCTCTGCCTCTGTGAGCACCATGGCTGTTTCTCTCTGGAAGATGAGTGTGACCCAGCAGAAGGCTGGTCTTTGGCCCTGCTAGTACTCCCACGGACTTTGCTTTGAGGACCTCTGTTTTCTGCAAGTTTTGTTGCAATCCCGGACATAGAGAATGCAGGTTTGAGGTCAGAATCATCCAGGCAGGGGGTAGAATTTAGGGGCCCCCTCCAGCCCTCACACACACACATACACACACTTGCACATTTGTCTGGCTTCAGCCAGGGTAGAAGCTGTTTGCCCGAGGAGGTGGGTGTGGTGTGGCATAGAGGAGGGATGGAGGTCCTGAAGGAGACTGACCTCACAGTGCACCCCTGAAGGAGAAAGGCACAGCATACCCTGTCAGGAAGTGAGGAGACCCCTGGGAAGACTGTAGCTCCCTAAGAGTGGAGTCCTAAAGGCAGAATGGTAGGAAAGAGTAGAGGGAGAGGAGAGACAGAGACAAAGCAGGGTGGGGAGAAGAGATCCCAGGAGCCGGAGGGGTGAACAGACCAAGAACAGCAAAGAAAAAAGGCAGAGACAGCTGGAGGCAGAGAGCTGGAGACACAGAGCGGGCAGCACCTCCGCCTCCTGGGCCAGGGTCTAGGGGCCACTTTCTGGGAAGGGGGCTGTCCCAGCCCCGTCCCAAGGGACCAGCCCGTTCCTGAGGAGGCTGTCTGCCTTCGTGCCTAACTTCAAAGCCCCTTCTCCCAGCTCCCCAGTGGGGGCAGCTGCCTGCTGGGGAGCAGGGTAGGCAGGCAGCCTCCTCCTCCTGACTATCAGCAGCTCCCTACACAGCACAGAGCTCCAAGCGAGGCAGGAGCCTAGGATTTCTCCGCCTCTGCAGGACCCCTGTGTAAGCCTGGGCTGTCCTTCTCCATGCCTCAGCTGCCCCATCTCTAAAAAGAGGACCTGGAAGAAACATCTGCCTGAGAATCACATCATCAGAGGCTCTCCCCTCCTCTGTGGTCCTCAGCACATACCACTTACCCGTGCCTACGCCCCCACAATTCTGGCCCCAGCAAAGGCTTCCCACCAAAGACAGCGCCATACAAGGCCTTGTGGATGGGGAAACTGAGGTTCAGAGGAGCTCAACACTCTCTGCAGAGACACTCCAAACACTGAAGAATGCCAGGGGATAGAGCCACCCCCCACCTCCCTGGGAGTTCGGTGTGTACACACACATGCGTGCATGTGACGGTGTGAGGGGTAGACAGGTGATGAGTGTGGGTGTCCTTAAAGTCTGTATGTCACAGCAGGGCTCTGTGGGACTCTGGGCATGGTGTTTATCTGGGTCTATGTGACTGTGAGTGTCTGAGTCGCTGCGTGAGTTCATGTGTCTGACACTGTGAGTGCGTGACTCGGAGGCCCACAGTTGTGTTTGAGTGTGCCTTTGTAAGTGCCTGTGCACTGGGCCTATTGTTTTCTTATGTGTATTTCATAAATGCTTCTGCAGGGCTTTCTACTTGCCGTTTTTTTTCTAAGCACTTCACATATATTAGGTAGTCTAATCTTCCCAGCCACCCTCAGAAGAAAGTTATTGTCCCCATTTTTAACTGGCCCGAATCACACAACCACAGTGACCGTTATTTATCTCATGCCAACTCAGAGCCAAGCCCTGTGCCTCTTTGGGGGAATGGATGAAATGAGAAAACAATTTGTGACAGTTTCTATCTCAGAATCTGGGGACAGCCGCTCTTCTATACATGTTGGTTTCTTCCTGTCTTTAAAAGCAAGCCACATGGCTGAGCTGCCCCTGTGTGGGGGGAGCATGGGTACCCAGAGCCCCACTGCTCTCCAGGGGAGCTGAGGTATCTGCTGAGAATCTTCCTGGCTTTGCCCTGGCCCTTGTCTGAGGGCAAAGGGAGAGATGCCAGTGCTGGGTCTGCCTAGGACCTTGTGGGGGCATGTGAGTTCACTGGACACTCCCTAGCTTCAGGGCTGGAAGATTGGGACTGAAGGACAGCAGCAGCCTACTCACCCATCCAATATCCTACGGGCCCCCTGGACTCATCTGGAGCCAGCAAGAAGCTGGCAGCCTGCCAGCTCCCTCTCCTGAGCCCAAGGACTACTCTCCCCGCCCCTTTAGAGCTGCACCTATGCCCTTCAGGCCCTTCAACCTTATCTCACAGCCAGTCACCAAACCTATATGCAACCTGCCCAGCTGGTCCCAGGACCAGGCTCACATCTCCAGTGACCTCACATTTGGGGTCCAAAGAGCATCCCATGGGGAGGACACTGGCGGCCAGACTCAGCTGGTCCATCTTCTGCCATCCAGGAAAGAGTTACCTAGGAAACTGGGGGTCTTGCGGCGGGTGGGGGTGGGAGGAAGAAATGGACCCACAGATTGTGAGTAGGAGGCAAAGGGGTGCTCTTGTCCTTGGGGTGCCTCCTCCTAAGGACACCCCCAGCATGTACACAGGTAGGGGAGAAACTGCAATGAGAGAAGCTGGAGTTCAGCGGGGGGCAGGCCTTGCGTGTGGAGATGTGACTGCTGAGCAGACTCACAGGAGACTGTGGTGAGGACGCACAGGCTGGGAGTGTGTAGGACCTTTTCTAGCCCGCTCCGGGGGCAGCGCAGCCATGTTGCCTGCTTTTAAAGACAGAAAGAAACCAACATGTACAGAACACTGGCTGTCCCTAGATTCTGAGATAAAACTGTCACAAACTGATTTCTCATTTCATCCATTTGCCCAGCCATTTTTGTTTGTTTTTGAGACTGAGTCTTACACTGTGTCCCAGGCTGTAGGGCAATGGCACAATCTTGGTTCACAGCAATCTCCATCGCCTGGGTTTAAGCGATTCTCCTGCCTCAGCCTTCCGAGTAGCTGGGACTACAGGCGTGCGCCACCATGCCCAGCTAATTTTTTTGTGTCTTTTTTTTTTTTTTTTTTGAGACGGAGTTTTGCTCTTGTCACCCAGGCTGGAGTGCAATGGCGCGATCTCGGCTCACCGCAACCTCCGCCTCCTGGGTTCAGGCAATTCTCCTGCCTCAGCCTCCTGAGTAGCTGGGATTACAGGCACGCGCCACCATGCCCAGCTAATTTTTTTTGTATTTTGAGTAGAGACGGGGTTTCACCATGTTGACCAGGTTGGTCTCGATCTCTCGACCTTGTGATCCACCCGCCTCGGCCTCCCAAAGTGCTGGGATTACAGGCTTGAGCCACCGCGCCCGGCCTTTTTTGTGTCTTTAGTAGAGACAGGGTTTCACCATGTTGGCCAGGATGGTCTCAATCTCCTGACCTTGTGATCTGCTCGCCTAAGCCTCCCAAAGTGCTGGGATTACAGGCACCGCCTAAGCGGTGATCTGCCCGCCTAAGCCTCCCAAAGGGCTGGGATTATGAGCTGCCGCACCCTCGCCCAGCCATTTTTATGGGAAAGGGTCCTGAGAGTCACACAGTGAGTCAGTCGGTGGCACAGCAGGATTTGAATCCAGGTCTTTAGACCTTTGCACTGAATTCCTTCCTGAAAGCAGCATGAGATTTGCTGCTGGCGAGATAGTCATGTCTCACTCTGGGTTTTCTCTTTCTTTTTCTTTCTTTTTTAAAAATTAAATCTTGGCCGGGGTGCAGTAGCTCACGCCTGTAATCCCAACACTTTGGGAGGCTGAGGCAGGCAGATCACCTGAGGTCAGGAGTTTGAGACCAGTCTGGCCAACATGATGAAACCCCGTCTCTACTAAAAATACAAAAATTAGCCAGGCCCAGTGGTGTGTGCCTGTAATCTCAGCTTCTCGGAAAACTGAGGCAGGAGAACCGCTTGAACACAGGAGGCGGAGGTTGCCATGAGCTGAGATCACGCCGCTGTACTCCAGCCTGGGTGGCAGAGTGAGACTCTGCAAGAAAAAAAAAAATTAAATCCTTCTGTTATTTTCTTTTTTTTAACTTCATAACTGATATATGAATATGTTCTTATAAAAGAGTCAAGCAAGTCTATAATCCCAGCCACTTGAGAGGCTGAGGAGGGAGAATCACTTGAGCCCAGAAGTTCAAGGCTGCAATGAGCTATGATGATGCCACTTCACTCCAGCCTGGTCAGCAGAGTCAGCCCCTGTCTCTGAAAAAAAAAAAAAAGTCAATCAATAAAAATTAAACAGCAGCCCTCCTTGGTCACTCCTAAGCCCTATTCCCTTCCAGGGAAAACCATTTTCAGCAGTTTTGAGTAGAGGAGCATTCTCCATCCTCTTTCTGAATGGTACCTCTTTGTGTACGTACCAAGGAGTTAGTTGAGTTTTGTCGTTTTCTATTTGCTTGGTGGTTTTTAAATAAATGGCATCGGATTCTACATAGGGCTCTGCCACATACATATTTTGACTTAAAGGTGTGTCTCAGAGATCTTCATGTCAATAAATATGAATCTATCTTTTTAAATGCTACACAGTATTCCAAAACCTGGGACTCATTAAGTAGTCCATAGGAATGTACATTTAGATCATTTCTGCACAATTTGCATGTGTGTCTGTGTGCGTGATTCCGGATGGTGGCAGGGAAGCTCCTTGAAATGCCCTCTGGTGACTCTATGTGACTGTTTCCTAGTAGGATATTTCTAGATTTTGTCATTGCTGGGTCTGAGATACGCATTTTTTATTTTAATAGCATGACCAAATTGCCCTCTAAAAAGCTTGTGCTGTTTTGTACTTATACAACACCAAGACTGACCAGGAGGGCCTCTCTCCCATGCCCACCATCTCATAGGATGTTATGAGGATTCTTTGTGTTTCACCTTTGT